CTCCTCTCTCTCTCTCTCTCTCTCTCTCTCACACACACACACACACACACACACACACACAGACAAAAAACCTTTCACACACACAATAACCCCTTCTCTGTCAAGACTCCACCTACTCCACCTACTCCTCTCTCTCTCTCTCTCTCTCTCTCTCTCTCCCACACACACACACACACCAAAAAAAAAAAAGAAGGAAACGGAAAAAAGAACAGCTGGGCGGGCCCTTGCTACCTTGCAATTCAATTCAACTACCGCCATCATCGTTCCTCCTCTGCTTCCTTCTTTCCTTCGCCCTGTATATTGAGTATGGATCACCGGGAATGACCTTATAATAATTACCCCCACTACCGACCTTCTTTCCCCTGTATATATAAAAAGATCAAATTAAGTTACAAATTGTAATACATATGGAAGGGAATCGTTCCAGGCCAGGAAACATCTGGCAAGATACCTACCTACCTACCTACCTTGTCGCCCGATTTCAATCATAATCCCCCACCCTCCCTCCTTGTCTTCTTCAACACCGTTAGTGGAGAAAAGGAGACCACAACTCTTTCCTCTCTCTCTCTCTCTCTCTCTCTCTCTTGAGCTTCCTCCGCCAGAGAGCAAACCAACGAATAAAAGATTTGTGGCGCTGCAACTCGAAGCGGACAATTACTAGTATCTCCTTCCTTGAGAAGTGTTATAAGAAGCAGGAAAATCCATCGGCGGTGAAAAGGAGCAAGCGCCTGTTCTGGGTGCGAGTAGAGAAACCATCCACCCATCTCTGCTTCAATGAGCTCACAGATTCTGACGCATCCTCTGTCAGCCAACAGCTCTCTCTCTCTCCCTTTCTGTTTTACAAAACGGCACGCCATGCCTACCGATGACGAAAAGAATTCAAATACAGCACTGCACCAGTCTCACAATATCGTTCATAACATCGTATATATATTGTCACATGATATCAGAGCGCCTAAGCGAAAAAAACAAAAAAACAAAAAAATCTTAAATTCGTTTTTAATCTTCTTCCTTACAACTCCCCCTGTTCAGAACCTCTTGCGTACAAGGCCGCCCACGTGGATGTAGGTTGAGCGGCGGCTGCCCCCACCCCCGTGTGTCATATCGACCCACTTGCACACAGCCAAAAGGCAAAGAGGCAAAGAAGAGAGGAATGGAACAGCCAAATGAAACAAATAGAACAGAGGGAAACAAGACAGATCCCAGATGACAAGTCCCACATGCAAGCACCGCCCGCTGGCAAGATTTGCTCACCGAAAAGAATTCCAATCAAAGAACCAGGCGCCAAAATTAATCACATGCCAAGCCCAAAACTCTTTGCACTTTCTCCCCCCCCCCCCCCTCTCCGCCCCCCCTTTCTTTCTCTCCTCCTCTTCCTTCCCTCTCTGTATTGTTCAACTACTGGCTTATTCCCTTTACCTACCTGATGTTTCCTTCATCTGTTTCATTTCCACATCATCCTCTCTCTCCCACCTTGTTCCTGTTCTGCTCTCTTCCTCCTCCTTTTCTCCCAATGCCACCTTCCTTCCTGCTTTTTCCCTCCCTCCTGCGTTCTGCGTCTTTCATCTGTGTTGTCCCGTCCTCCTCCTTTCACTCAGCCACTGCCTCTCCTCCGTTCCTGTCTCTTATACACATCTAGATGTGTATAAGAGACAGCCCTTCGGCCGGTCCCCAATACCCCAACGTTCCCCGAAGTCCTCTCATGCATGTCCTGGCCCATTCTGTCTCCTCTCGTCTCCTCTTTCTTATGGCAGATTGGGAACCCCACCTGCCCCCAAACCGCCATCACCGGATCCCCACCTACACCACACCCCTCCTTCCCCCAAACCGGCGGCTGACCCTCGCTCAACCCCGCCGATGCTCTATCCTCCCTCTTCACCCCAAGTACCAGAGCCATGCGGCGGCTCTCGATATTGCCGCCACCAATTGTACGGCATATCCATCGTACGGTTTCATCTCGATCGCAATAGGACTTGCGCGTCGTACTCTCTTGCTGCCTCGTCTTTCCTGGCACTCGCCTACCTGTGGAGGTCCAATCAATCACCATCACCCCCTCCTTCCCTCCCCCCCCCTCCACCCCCTCCCTCCCCCCTCTCCACCCCCTCCCAACTCAACGAAATCTACTATTCAATCTCCTCCTGGCTTGTTTGATCTCTCTTTCCCAAGTTAGCCCCCGGTCAAATCAAACTCGCCTGTCAATCCGATCATAGCAATACCCATCGCGGAAATCATCTACGACGTCACTACGCGGCCATATCCCCCTTCTTCGGACCCGGACCCCACGAAAATCACCAAGATTCAACTCGCTCAAGCAGAGTTCAACAACGCGCTATACATGCACAGCCACAACCATCCCCACGTGACGCCCATTTACACAGGGCTATCAAAAGATTCAATCAAAACCCTAATATGCTGAAATCCCTGTTCAATACAACATTCAGCACGTGTATGTGTATACATACATATATCGATAAAGCAAGAAGAACCGGTCGGCCTCTCGAGCGTCGCCGGATATGATGATTGCAGCTGCTGCTGAGCTGAGGCTGAGCTGATAGGCCAACCAAGCAATCAACACACGCCAAGTGTTCCCCAGCATCAAACAAACGCAAGAAGAGAGATGACGTACAAGAAAGCACCGTCCACTGATCCGCTCCGCTTGTCCCCATTTTTCCCCTCCCCGACTGGGCTTGTCTGCATTTTGCCCTTTTTTCCCCTCTCCCGCCTCTTTTCCCCTTACGAGACTAATTACAATGATTGGCTCAGAGCTAAGCTTGGCGGGACAAGTTCCAGTTCACCCTAAACCCAACAACGTCGGCGGCAGAGTGATATAACTTATCACCACCCGTTTGTCCGCTTGCTTGGTCGATAATTACATGATGGACGGATCGATTGACAGCTCATTTTCTTTCTGTCGTCACGAAGTCGAGAGCAACAAGTGTCTGCCACTACTGCCTGCCCGGTCGCCATTCCCATCATCGTCCTCCCACGACATACCAAATGCTCACACACCATTATCGTCCTTTCCTTCTCATTCACTTCCCCTCATCATCGTGACCATCGTCATCACGTGGTCGAAATTTATTCTCTCTCTCTCTCTCACACACATCGGTGTTCACCATCTATTTCTCTCCTGACACCGAGGGAAGGGGGAACTCTCTCTCTCTCTGGCAGCAGCTACGTCCCCTGCCTAAACACCGGCTCCAGGTCCATTTTACGCAGGCTGGTTCTCTCTCTCTCTCTCTCTCTCTCTCTCTCTCTCTCTCTCTCTGTGTCTCTCTCTCACATCGGTGTTCACCATCTATTTCTCTCCTGACACCGAGGGAAGGGGGAACTCTCTCTCTCTGGCAGCAGCTACGTCCCCTGCCTAAACACCGGCTCCAGGTCCATTTTACGCACGCTGATATGGCCGCGAATGTGATATTGATATGCAATATTTAGTAAGATAACAGGTGCAGGTCAGTGGCAGATGCGCATGTAGAATGACGGCAGGTGCGCGGGTTAGTGGTTCAGATCTGCTGTTTTGGGAACCTCGATCCGTGAGGTGACATGAGATTGAATGGCCGAGTAACGTGTCGACGCATTTCGCATTCGGGTTTAAAGATGGGAGCCAACTCAACAGTCCCCACGAACGTGCTACCGTAGTCTTGCACAGCCTGTAATACTGCGCCTCGGTCCACTACTCTCAAAATGTGCAAACCGAGAGTGAATCTTCCCCCTAGAACACGGAAAGATTCATCGCCATCATTTTCGTCTTTTGTTTTTTGTGCATGTCGACAGTAGTGGAGCGAGGCCCACTGTATCATCGACGTATAGCTGCCGCCACGGACTGTACGTCAGCACATCCATCAACCCGTCATCCGCACCAGCATAGACATCTCTTCTCATCACAATCCATCGCTGCCAATCCCACTGCCGCTAATTGTCACCATCATCATCAAGCGCCGGCGATACCATTACAGCTATAGATGCTACCTGTCGTCCATAGCCGGGCGACTCCATTCAACTACACTACGTTAAGCCTGACCCCTCCGACTATTTTCCACACCACATTCCATCTCCCGACTCACCGCCCGCGCGCAATAGAGAGAAGTCGGATGGTTATGGAGAGAGAGAGAGAGAGAGAGAGAGAGAGAGAGAGAGAGAGAAAGGGATGAATTCGTGAATAGTGAGATAGCGAAAAGAAGGAAATAGAGGAAAACGGAAGGAGAAAGAGAGGATAGACAGCAGAAGAGGAGAAGAGCGAGCAAGCGAGCGAGCGAGAGAGAGAGAGAGAGAGAAAAGCACGCACGCAAAGGAAGACGACACCGCGAAGGTGAAGAAAAGGAGAAACAGGGAGTGAGAGAGGGAGGGAGAGGAAGGTTGAAGCGAATACGGAAAGTGATGCGTGGTAGAGAGAGAGAGAGGAAGACAACGTAGAAGAGGATAACAATGTAAGGTGTGGTGATGATGGACGGCTTGACCCCGCACTTGCCTCGAGAAGAACAGCCTGCCTACTCCGCTGCCCGGTTGCTTACAAACACACAAACAACTTCACGTTTTCCGGCGATTCACCAGGGATCGTGATGAGACGTCACGCAGCCTCAAGCCAGTGATCTCCTCGGGCTCAAAGGCATGGTCAGTTCCTCTTTTCCCCAGTCCGAGCTGACCCGCGAAGCACGCGCCAAAGCCGAACACTTTGCCTGATTCCGTGACCGCCAAGGTGTGCGAATCATCGTACTCATCCTCGGAGAAATAGGCCCCTGCAGCCACCTCCACAACACATTCATTCTTCAAGATATTGACTCGCCTAGGCAATCTGACTGACGAATCGCGCGTGAAAAGCACGTCAGGATGACCTAACCTACCTCCATACGTGCTTCCAAATGAATACACATCCCCATCGGCACCTACGACGAACGTGCTGTCTTGCCCAGCAGCCACATTCACCGCGCATACGTGGCTGACACCGTCCACCACATGTGGGACTAGCCGATGGCGCGTGTCTTCGTGACCCAAACACCCCGAAAAACCGTTCCCCCACGTGTACACCTGCCCACCAAACGCCACCGCGACAGAGTGTACCGATCCCGCCGCCACGGCCATCACCTGAACGTTCCATTTGGTGAAGTATCGGATCTCCTTAGGAACCAGCTCGTTCGCCTCTCGTCCGTGACCCAATTGCCCTTCCTCTCCCTCACCGAAAGAGAGAACCCTGCGGCAGTTCTTCTCGTCTACAGCGATAACGAGAGAGTGATCGCTCCCCACGGCCACCTGGATTGCTTTCAAACCATTGTTGATCCCTTCCACTCGTCGAGGGGTGGCTTCATCATCCTCTCTCCCATGACCTAATCTGCCAAACTGACCGAGGCCGAAGGTGAAAACGCCGCCGTCAGATGCCAGAGCGACAGAGAAGTGCCGACCGGCGCCCACGTGGACGATCCTCGACCCACCGAAACCCTCTTCGACGCGGGCGGGGGTAAGCGCGCGACCAAGGGGGCCATGCCCGCAGCAACCGTGCGCATTCAATCCCCACGTGAAGACGTGTCCAGCGTCGCTCACGACGATCGTGTGCGACAATCCCGCCGCCGCTCGGACTATCCTCGTCCCTCGCAATGCTCGCGCCGTCACTAGCCGCGGCTTCCATTCACAATTATTCTTCCACCTCCCTAATTCCCCATAATTGCCCCTTCCGAAGGAGTACACGTGTCCGCTCTCGCTGACGCAGACGCTGAACCGCGCACCCGCCGCCACGTGGCCCCTGCCGCGATCCAGACACCTGTCCAGCGCAAGAATGTACCTCATCACCAGCTTCCACGTGCCTCCGCATCTCGTCTCCAGAGCCAACTTCTCCTTCTTAGGGCATCGCAGGAACAACACGTGGCGATTGCACCAGTCGTGCGCCGCGACCTCAGCAATCGACAAAAACCGGTTGGGCGGGAGTTTCGCTTGCTGCCGGAAGAACGAGCACGTGACCTCAAGGCGCGCCAAGTCCGTAGCCGTCAGACCGTAATAGGTCAACAAGCGCAGCAACAGCTCTGTCGGCGCATTAACTAAGAAACTCATCGCGCCGCCTGATGATGAATCCCCTTCATCGTTCGTCGAGTGATGGCCTTGCTCCTCCACTTCACTTCGCTCGAGCCTGCTGCATGCCGTGCCCTCTTCCTCCTCTTCCTCGCCCTCGGTTACCCTCTTCTCTGTCCCTAGTGAGTACGAAACGGGACCATCTCCGCCTCCTCCTCCTCCTGCTCCACTTCCTCCTCGTCCAGCAGGAATATACACATCACCCTCTCGCCTCACGCACGCCACCACCTCTTCCGCTGTCGCCATCCGTTCGCCCACCGCCAAAGATGATCGGTTGATTGACCGTTGTATAGGCAATCAATCGTGAAAAAGGACGACGACACAAGCAACTGAAGGAGAACATCGGCTAGAAGGTAGAGAGAGGGATCACCCCTTGTTCGCCCGCACAAGCGATATACTCAATACGTCATTCACCTCTCTCTCTCTCTCTGTGTGTGTGTGTGTGTGTGTGTGTGTGTGTGTATGCGTGTATGTTTGTGGGATTGCGCAGGTGTATGCCTGCGTGAGTTGAAAATCTCTCTCTCTCTCTCTCTCTCTCTCTCTCTCTCTCTCTCTGTGTGT